TGACCACATCCTTGTGTTTGGGGACTGGCCCTGGACATGGGCAGTCCTTTCTTTCCTGATGGATGCTCATCGGGCATCTCAGGGTTAGTCACAGGCACATCCAGTGCGGGACTCCCTGAGATCCGGGCTCAGCGTCTGGTTCATCTCACTGCTTCGAAGTGTGCATGTCAAACTTGCCTTCCTCAATAACCAACCCTCTGTTCTCAGTTGAGAATATAATTAAGAAATTATTACACTCTTTAAAAAAGTATGCTAAGAATTGCTGAAATGGTAGAAGGATGGATGTTTGATTTCCTTTCGATTTGTGGTAGGGGACTCAGTATTAGGAAACAGCACTCTATGTGATCAGGCAGAGGACTCAGTATTAGGAAACAGCACTCTGTGCCACCAGGGGTTTGTAAGTATAGCATATGGAGTTACCTGGAGTGAAGCTACTTCAGGAAGGTGAACTGGATTATAGGAGGCAAGATGGTTTAGTGCTAAGGTAAAATACAGAATGGGATTTAGGTCGACAGACTAGATGTTTGAGAAGCTAGCTCCGCAGGTCTTTTTGATCTTGCTGAGAAATTACAGCTTCCAGTTCGTTTCTTCCAGTGGCTGGCACTGTCCCCTGGGCCCCAAGAGGATTATCCTAATTGGTTTCTGCCCCAGAGGCAGGCCCTTTGATTCTATTGAAGCAGTAATGGATTCCTTAATTGAAACCCCAAAGTATCAGATTTTGCCTATTCACAGCCCCCCAAATGCCCTATTGCTGTATTTTCAACTCATTCTTCTGAAGGGGTAGGAACAGGAGAAAGTTGGATCCTGCTGGTTTCCCGGTCAGGGGGCTAACGGAACCTGTCCTGGGTGTGAATGTTTCCATCTCATGTCTGGGAAGATGTTAGTGGAAGATCTGAGCTTCAGAAAGATGCTTCATGTGCATGACCTTGTGCATCTGGCATGTGACAAGGTCCTGAGTTGGATACAGCTCTTCCCAGAGACGAGGAAGCCGGGATTACTTGAAATTCTTTGAAATCTAGAATTAAAACAGAAAATGTGCCTTGGTCCTGGGTGGAAAAAAACAGACTCACACTGAGCTCCTCCTACTGTCCCCTCACCACACAGGTCACGCCTGTGACCTCTTAGGGTGTAAGAGGAAGCYATCGATTCTGCAGTGGACGCCAGCCGGTGTCCCCTGATTGACTTCAGTTCTGACAAGTTGAAGACTCCGTCCCCAAGATCTCTCCCACTTCCAAACCAGCAGCAAGCCCAGGCCTTCCAACTGGCTAAAATTGGGGTTCTCACCACCCCCTCCTTGAGTTTGAGGAATTTGCTAGAATGTCTCCCAGAATTCAGGGAAACTCTGCGGACTGACCAGCTTATTTTAAAGGATGCAAATAAACAGCTGGACAGACTAGATGGACACACAGGGGAGGCCCTTCCGGAAGGGCCCCCAGTGCAGGAGCTCCCACCCATCGCTGTGCAGCTRGGGGGTGGCCAGGTGGGCGAGTCTGTTCTTGGTCTCCTTCTGTGAGCCTCCATGAGCTCCGCTGGGCAGAAGCCCTGTGACTCCTGTCCTTTTGGATTCTTACCATGACTTCAGTTGTGGACATCCGTAACCCTGTAGAAATGGGCCTGGGCAGAGGGCAGAATCTAGTGCTGATAGGGCAGCTAGGAAACCCAGCAAGGTRCAGGCTCCTCTTGGCCTCTGTGCAGCCCGCCTTCCTCCTAGACATGGGGCAGGGCCTTGGTGGCCATCTCCAGGACAGGAAAGTGCGGGGRAGATTAGAGTACATGGCCTGTCCTGGGAAGACAGAGGCTAGTGCCCGTGGCCAACGCTGAGGAGGGAGCTCTGCACCCGAAACCTTGGATGAAAACATAGGTGTTTTCATCCAAGGTTGGTAGGAGGCATGTAGAAGTGATCTTTTATTATCTGAACACTTGCGTGGAATTTCTGTGTGTGCTGGTGCATGAAAGGTAACCAGTAACAGTAAGCGAGGTCATGTGAGTTGTCCGTGACTGGCGTGGTTGGGCCAGATTAACCTCGGGTAAATCAGTTATTTTTCAGGTCACTTTTAGAAGCAGGAAGAAGCCTTTGGGTTTCCACCTGGGCACCCTACTCCTGGGGGCCCCATAAGCCACAACACCTAGCTGGCAGTTATTACCAGAAAAACTGTGCATAATAATGTGCCATCATTCTTCAAATGTACACAGATAATATTATGTTTTAAAGTGGAAAAAAATTAGAATTCAGCAGTGTTTTAAAATATCTTTGCATTTTGTTAATCTAAAAATCAAAACTGCTGACATGGAGGTTGATGTTTTTGATGTTACAAGTGGTGTGGTTTCTTTTGTGTGGAGTTAACAGAGGCTCTTTTAGTTCGAAGCTTTGGTCTTATCCAACGTGCAGTGCAAGTACTTACTTGCATATAGAAATAGACGGTTTCTTTAAAAATAATTKCTATGTTCTACTTTGATCCTAGTGGTGTAGCGCCTCCCTCTCTGGGGACATCTAGTGGCCATGGTGTGAAATGCAGCCTGTCTGGCTGGAAGCCTTCCGTCACTAAGACGGCTGTCAGAGAGGGATCCCCTTCCTCTAGCCACCCMCACTCCTGGTAGATGGGTACTGGGATCTTAGATCCCACCCACAGGTCCTGATTGCACACCGAGTTGCTTTCATTAAGGTGCAGTTGGTCTCCTGTGTCGCATGATTGGAACTTTAGAATGGGGATTTTAAAGCCAAGGTTAAAAACAAGGGCATTCATGATTTTCCTTGGTTGAAGGCCGTGCTCAAGTTTCAGAAGGCTGCAGGAAGCAGCCGGCCTGTCCTCTCTGACTGGACATGTCTTATTTTTCTGGACTCTGAGTCCCTCCAGGGCTGATGCTGTGGATTAGCTTCTTCAAGACCAAGGTGCATCTGCACTCGGTGACGCCACATTGACTTTTTAAATCTTTTCATTTTAGGCTTGCGTAGGATTATTGCAGTTCTCTAAACTAATGTTGAATTCATTGAATTGTAACAATTCTAAAACATAGGTTTCTCTGAATCTTCCAAGTTTATCGTCTAAATACACTGCTCGTAAAGTTAGAAATTTTTCTASAACGGTAAAGACATCAGCTTCCATTATTTGATTCACGGTTTATTAACTCAAGTTTAACTGATTTACATCTACTAAACATTTTACTGTGAATTCGTTCCATTCTCAACTTAGTGAACCCCCCACCATTTAAAAAGTTTTAAACTGCATTTACAATTGTGATCTGCTGGGTTTTTCCTGACTACCCCAACCCCTGGGGCTGGCTGTCAGAGCTAATAGGTTTCTTTATGCACTTAGGCAGTTCTTTGAAATCTAATAAAGCAAACTTGGAAATGTGGCCAGTTTTTCATTATTGTCCTGCTGGGGACAGAACCCAGGGACTGGGGTGTGCCTGGCAAGYAGTGCTCTTCCCAATGAGCTACATCCCCAGTCTGTCCGTCAGTTTTTAAAGCGAACATTCGAATGCTGTGTACAGGTTTACTCAGACTCTTATTCCTTTCAAATGAAAACTGCAAGTCGCATATCAGTTACACGTTTCAAATGAAAACCACAGAGGTCTCGAACTTGCCCACTTGTTCTATTTCCTAATAACCCGCGTACACATTCCTCTGAAGGTCAGACTTCAGGTTTGTGGTTTACTCCTCCTGTAAGTTTTGATGGGCTTTAGCTCTGATATTTTTCCCTCTACCATTCCTAGTAGAAAACACACTCAGGTCCAGCGGGGTTCCAGCCTTGAAGGTCTGTGACGCTGATTCTGGTGGTAACAAGCAGCAGGCTGAGCCTGGCACTTAAGACTGGCAGGAAGAACTTACCTGCCCCAGGTGCATCAGCTCTTTCTTGGAATCAAACTCACTTTGCTCTGTTAGWAGGGGACCCAAGCTCCTACCTTTCACCTGGGGTTTATCTTTACAACCCCACACATCTTATGCATTCCATGTACATTTCAAATTTCACTTGGCCAGTTTTCTTTTTTGGGTACCGAGTATTGAACTCAGGGGCACTGGACCACTGAGTCACATCCCAGCCCTATTTTTTTTTTTTTTTTAAGAGACAGGGTCTCACTGAGTTGCTTAGTGCCTCAAAGTTGCTGAGGCTGGCTGTGAACTCACAGTTCTTCTGTCTCARCTTCCCGAGCCACTGGGATTACAGGCATGCGCCACCACACCTGGCCACTCAGCCAGTTTCAATATTAATCCCTTCAACATTTAACCATGTGATGTGGGTGAGTGGAATTTTGCACCCCACTTAGGTCCTGGCTAATTTCCTTCAGTACCTGGTAAGAATCAACTCACTTCTTTACCTCTGTCTGGATTCGACCTTTTTTTTTTTTTTTTTTTTTTTTCCCTGTGTATATATGTTTTCCTGTCTGGCACTTAGTCACAATTCTGCAGTCATTTTACTGACAAGTAAGTGCCAGTACTTACTGGCAGTGGTAAGTGCTTGAATCAACTTTGGTAAGAGGGTACAGGAATACCATGGCAGGTGGAATCTATTAATTCCAATCTTCTTTGCCTAAAGCCAGCACTCGCTCGGCTGGTTTTCTCTTCTAACACCCACATCCTCAGTGTGGCTGCACACATGAGAATCACCCTCGGAACTTTCCTATCACCTCAAGCCGGTGGAATGGGGGCCTCTGCTGGGCATTGWGGTGTGCGTGCAAAGAGCAGCAGGTGGTTCCGAATCCACCCGAGGGTCCACACCTCTGGGGTAACGTAGCCGCTGAGCGAGAGATTCAGGTGGTTTTTAAACTCTCCTTTCCATGTTGTGGAAAGACTATTGGAAAATGCGTGGAGGACATGAGAACGACACCAGGTTAGGAGTGTGGCTGAGGCTCAGCTGGGCCACTTTCCTGGGATACGGATGTCCTTGGTGGAGGTGTCTTAGGGCGTGGGTTGTACGACCTTGGTACTTGTCCCTCCCTTCTCTGCCTGTGGCCCCCAGCACGCCCAGGCACAAGCTCAGCTGTTGCTTTCTGTGACTCAG